CCCATCTGCTGAGCAGCTGCAGTCCAGGCCACAAAGTACAAAGTACACCTCAGCATTAGAGAGTTAACTCAGGGGCCACTGTTACCCAGGCTGGGGCCTTAAAGAAACAGGAGCCCTGGAATAGCCTCAGCATCCCATCCAGCTCCTGCCACCCTGGAGAAGAGTCTCACCCTGGCAAGGCCCTTTCAGGGACTATGAGGATAAATTCTAGACACTCATTGTCCACTCACTGGACTGCCAGTGGCAGAGTGGCCATCTCTGTCGTGGGGAAGCTTATGGTCCTCCATTTTCATTTACTTAGAAGTCCAGTTTCTTATTTGAAAGTTTGACATTCTTCAGCTTAGTGAAAACCCCATCCCTATTGTACAGTGTATGACCAAAATCCTTGTTATACATAGTGACGTATTTTTTTTTAAAGGATTTTGCCATAGGGCACATGTGCTCACTGGAGAGAGAGGAAGAGACAGACTGTAAGAAGAAAAGTGAGAAGTCATGCCCCTCCAGGAGGGATGGCCATTCGCAATCCCTTCTCCTCCATTCTCCTTCTGGGATCTTGGGCACGCATGCACACATGCCCAGCATAATTTTCAAGCCACTGGGTCTAGGAATCGAACCATGGTGGGCCATGTGGGAGCCCAGCGATGTAACTGCTATGGCATCTGCTGACCCATAGTGATGTGATATTTTATGTTCCAAAAATCCAAGGTGTTAGAAAATTAATGTCTTACATTTCACACATAATATGTGTCTGAAATTTGTGTCTATCTCTTGAGTTTCCCTGTAGTCTCTAAACATCACAAGTTTGTAAACTGAGAAGATTGGATATTAAATCCATTTTTCATCACCTATTTAAAACTTTCTTAGAACAACATTCTACTTTATGCTGGATGGGGATTCTTTGTGAGTTCAGAGGAAAAGGTGCACAGATTTCTTTTCCTTTATGGGGAGAGAGAGTCCATTTAAATGTACTCTAAACATTTGTTTAAATTACTACTGACAGGTCACAGTATATATTAAATCAGTGTCCCCTTTTCTGACTAGGGACTGCCCAGATAACACGTTATAATTGCTTTTGAAACTCCTAAACCCACCGTGATTTAAGTCCTTTTCAGACTTGTGATCCTTTTGTGTATGTGGAACATTTGTTCACTTCCCGTTGAGACCTCAGATTCATTCTTGCACCTCTGTCCCAATGGTGTTGCAATGGTCTCACTCATCTCATTGCCCCCATCTTGTCACCTTTGTCTTGTCTTGTGCTATCATCTGTCTTCCATGCTCTGCTTAGTGGCCCTGAGTATCATCATTTAATGACACTAAAGGCTCTAGGTTTTCACCTAGGACCTTCAGCAGTTGTTTATTGCCCGCAGAATGAAGTCTAAGCTTTATAAAATGTTTCTTGGAGTGGGGCCAGCAGGTGGTGTAGTGGTTAAGGTACTGGACTCCCATGTGGTTAACTGCAGTTCAAGTCCCAGAGCCCACAGCTGGGTGTGTATGCATGTGTGCCCAAAACCCTAAGGGGAGAATAGAGGAGAAAGGATGGTAGCATGGCCATCGCCTCAGGAGGTGGCTTCTTTACTTTCTGTCTCTCTGTCTCTCTGGCAAGTACATGTGTCCTATGGCAAAAATCTCTCCAAAAATCGAAAGTTTCTTGGAGCTTGTGGCTCACCACTCTCTATTTCACATGTTACAGTCTTAAAATCCCAACTCTGCATTTTCTCCACAAAAGGCAATAATGGCTACATGTCCTGGTTAATGCTGTTTCCTTTGGTTGGTAAGCTCTTCACACTCTTCTGGTTTAATTCTTGCCCTCTGTAGTTCACCATGGGCAGCATCTATTCCTTGAAGTTTTTGCCCACCTCCAGGCATACCTGAGACATCTCCAGCCTCATCTGAATTATTCACATAGCAATTCTGGCATGTTTGGATAAATGGCTGTCGGTGCAGGTGGTTTAAAGAAGTCACGTGATTCAGAGAGCAGACACATAAGACCTATCTGACAATAACTCTTCAATTCCTTGTGCCCCTCCCCATGCCACCTCTAATTACAATGTCACAGGTTAACATTTTATTCCCAATGTTGTAGTAGACCCGTTGTTTCATTAAGCACATAAACTAATCATCATCGAAAGTTCCTCTGGTCAGGAGCATACAACTAGGAGAAATACTGGAAATGCATTCACCATTCTATAGTTGTTCATGTAACTTCTGAATTTTCTTTTCTAATTCCTCACTTTAATTGTACCATTAACCTAATTCATTTCACCCCAGCGCTTTCATTTACTGAACTCTAATTTTTTCCCACACTCCAAATCCCTCAAAGTACCATTAATACTCAATCAGAATGACCCTGTTCATGGTGAGAAAAGTATGGAAGACTTTTTCTGTGGTATCCATTACCCTGTGCTAACACAATTGATTATGAATCGGGAGATTTCCTCTAAAAAGAGCGAGATTATAAATACTTTAGGCTTTGTGGGTCATGTGGTTGCTGTCCCAACTCAACTCTGTAGTTATAACAGGAAGACAGTCAGAGACAATAAGCAGAACTATGATAGTATGGCTATATTCTAACAAAACTTTCTTTACAAACACAAGCAACCCAGGACAACTTTTTGGGTCCTCTAGAGTCTTATTTCACTAGAAAGAGATTTAGTCGGGCTCCGTTCAGGTATGGGAACCTTTCCCTCCAGAGTCCTTGGCAAATTCTCCAAAGGTCATTTGTACCATACCTATAGTGTAGTTTTTTCAGAAACAGAGGCTGGGGGAATAAGCCCAGGTAAGCTTCATTTGCTTTCATAACTCCTCTCACGGGTTACCGTATCAGGAGTGGCAGCCCAGAACCTACCCTTTCTTTGTGATGCTTTGGCACTAAATTGTAAGAGTAAATTGTAATTTTTAAGAAATAACCCACAGAAATGACTCCATGGGATCAAAATCAGTGTGCTCAATGATATTTTTAAAAGAAATGTTCATAACATGAAAAAATTTCAAGTATTCTGGTTGGGAAATGGAAAAATAACATGGAGGACTTCCACAGAATCTTTTTATAGGGTGATTGTATAGATTTATTGATCCTTGGAAATGTGCACATTGAAAATTATAAGTGAGAAAAATCTAAGTTGAGGGTCAAAGGGATTTTTAGCATTGGAAATACTTGGAATTGTAATATTACAGGACTTTTACATAGAACTCCTCTTATGAAAAAGCTTTTCTCCCTTTTTTTGTATGTTGTCTTTTAGGATTGAGAATTTTCCAATAATTTCACCCACACAGATTTGTAGAGTTCCTACTATGTGCCAAGTATTCTTTCAGGCACAAAATATTTAAAAGTCTTAGTGAACAAAACGCACAAATACACCTACCATCATGGCACTACATTCTAGTGGAAGAGACAGAATGTAAGATAAATAAGGTTTGAGCATGAGTTGGGGACAGAAATAAAGAAGAAAAGTGAGATATAAAATATTGGGAGAAGACATACTTTTAGATTGGGTGATCAAGGGACCAGCAGATGGTGTAGCATTTATGTCACTACACTCCCACATAGTTAACCATGGTTCAAGTCCAGACCCAGAAGCTTAAAACTCATGCCGGGTGCATGTGCGTGCATGTCCAAAATTCCAAGAGAATTGGAGGAGAAAGGATTGCAGAGTGGACATCCTCCCGGGTGGGGGGGGGAGTGATTTCTCACTTTCTGTCTCTCTGGTGCCCTGTAACAAAAATCTCTCTTGAAAGATTGGGTGATTGATAAGGACTCCTTGGAAAGGTGGCTTTAATTAAATAGTTTTTAAAAGAATTATTTTATTTATCTTTATTCATTTATTTTCATTTGACCAGAGAGGGATAGAGTGCGAAAGACAGAGAAAATGAGAAAGCAAGCTGCCAGGTCTGGGACTCGAACCACAGTCTGCCATGTGGGAGTCCAGCACCCTTAACTACCATTCCACCTGCCAGCCCCTAATTAAATAGTTTTAAAAAATTAAATAGTTAAAGAATAGTTAAAGAGGGAACTAGCAATGTGATAGTGTAAGAAGATCATTCTGGGTGGAGGGATCAGAAAGCACAAGGCTGTTGGGTGAGAGAGTACCTGGAGTGTTCCAGGAACATCAAGAAGGCTGGTGGCTGAGTAGAGTAAGTGAAGGAAGGAGTAGTAGGAAGAGATGAAAGAGGTAAAAGAAGACCAGCTCTTGGGTTCAGCCTCTTAAGTCATTGTAAGCCTGCTGATTTTCATTCCAAATAATGGGAAGACACTGGAGCATTTTGAGTGAAGGGAGAGATTGTCAAGTTTATATCAAAATAGTTCCTACTGTTGAGAATAGATAGAAGATACAGAGAGGCTTCTACATGGCTGTTGGAAGAATCTGGATGAGAGACAAGAAGCATCTGAAGGCATGGCAATACCCAGGGATGCAGAAGTATGGCTGAAAGCAGCGTTCCCATTGCAGATCCCACCTTCCACTCAGGGTGAGATAATTCAGGAGCAGTAACCATTCCTTAACTATCGCCTCAACCCATAGTAGAAAGTACAAAGTCAGGCACATACTAGGTGCTTAAACCAGATTTCTATTTCATGGTTGCCTCTGCTACAAAACCTTTCCTTGATGATGATGGGGATTTTAATGTCTTTGTATTGACTGATATGCATGGTATTCCTTCTGGAAAAAGAAATGTAATACACTGTAAAGTTATATGTGATTCAATGTAATATAAATAAGATTATGATAATAATAAATAAATTTCTAAAAAAAAAAAAACCCTTTCCTTAACATTCTTACCTCAATATTTTTCCCTTCTTTGGTCATTTACTTACGAATTAGTACTGTCAACATTGGCTGATCATCTAAGAATGCTTTTGTTTTCCATGACCTGCATAACAGCACAGTAAAGATTCCATCAAACCATTTCTTTCTAGCCATATCTTTTGAACTGAAAGTACTATTACTGCACTGCACTGTTAAAAAGCCAAATTGATTGTAACTGAATGTAAAATTTCTTTTTAGGGAACAACTTAATTCTTTATTGAAGGACTATAATATTTTTTATGAGAACCAGAAAAACCTGCATATTTTATATGGACAGGTAAGTCGATCAAAGAAATGTAATATAGTTTGATTTGTAGGAAAAATTTCCATAAATGTGCACAGGAGTCAGGATGAGTTGGAGTCTACGAACTAGCAGCACAAGTGGTCCGGAACTTCACCTTGATTAGGATTTTTATTTTTAGACTCTATTGCAAAATCCCAGGCCTAAAACATTTGTGATTTTCTAAGCACTTTTGGCATAGGAAAGCATTTCAAAATAATTTTAATGACATATTGGCTTTCTCTTTTAAAAGTAGAATATGAATATTTTTTTGAACAGCCATTCCACTCACTAGAAATCTGTCATAATACTTCCTCACAAATGTACCAGGAAGTGTCTATTGATAGAACATGAAAACTGTGACATCATTTGCAAAGTAGAACATTTGAAGATGGAAATCTCTATCAATGAGCGAGTATCCAAATAAATCATGATGTATCTGTGACATCGAATCTGCTCTGGTTAATAAAATGAATAACTTAGGATCCAACGAATGCACAGTGCTTTATAATAAATTTAATAATTTTAAAGAAACAATTTAAGAAAGTCCTTAAGCTAGAAAGCATGTTTTTTAGGGGTGCAACTGACAGGCTACCACAAAGTGGCTTTAGGTTGTCTTTTTTAAAAATTGAATGCTTTATTCTCTACAGGACTCTCCATTCAGTCTGTCATTCCAATGGAGCTCACTTCATATATTTTCAATATCTTCCTGGCCCTAGGGAACATTAGAAGTTTCTACTTTTGGGGACTAGCAGATGGTTACATTTCTGGCCTCCCACATAGTCAACCGCAGTGCGAGTCTTAGACCCGGCTGCTTAAAACTCACATCAGGCATGTGTGTGTGTGTGCCCAAAATCCTGAGAGGAGAATGGAGGAAAAGGGATTGTGTCGTGGCCATCCCCCCTGGGTGGTGATTTCTCACTTTCCTTTTCACTGTGTCTGTCTCTTTCTCTCTCTCTGGCGAGTGCACGCTCCCTAAGACAAAAATCTCTGGGACAAAAATAAAAGAAATGAGCCAAATTTTAAATAATCTCATATTGTCCTATATTTTAGGTCTTTAATCTATATATATAAGATATAAAATTTAAAAGACTATCAAAACTTTGAAAAATAATCATTTATATTTTATTTCAATGGTTTCCATAAAACTTATGTTAACTCAGTTTGCTTTAGGAAAATGTTTGAGTTTTGATGTTACAAACATTTAAGTTGAAACATGATCTTTCCAATTCTATAAATCAATGCTATCCTTACAATGTTAGTTATTTAATTTTCAAATAATTCATGTTTTATATAATTTTTTAAAACTCTATGAAGTAAAGTGTACTGACCATGAGGCAATCAGGTCGCTTAATCTTTAAATTGTATTTCCGAGTCACTAAAGTTAGAATCCAGAATTTTCCAAATCTTCTGACTTAGTGAGAAATGATGGCTCTGTTAAAAGGAACAGTCCATATGGGATGATACATAGCTTTCTTCATTTCTGACTAATCATTAATTAAGTGAGTATTTAAGAGTGTCTACCATGCACGAGACACCATTCTCATACCTGTAGATACAGCAATGAAGAAATGAGACAAAATGCCCCGCCTTCATGCTGCTCACCTAACGGGGCAGACACAAGAAACCAAAAAGTAAAATATGCGGTCCATCAGATGGTGGCAAGCGCTATGGAGAACTACAAGGCAGAGGGCTCAGGAATCAAGGTGGGGTCAGGGAGAAAGGACTATTTGACAAAGACTCTGAATGATTTGAGAGACTATACTCTGCAAAAGTCTGTGGGTCAGGTATTCTGAGCAGAGAATGGCAGCTTGAATACAAGACTTGAGCTTGGCTAGTGTAATGGACGTAAGCAAGGAGGTCGGTCTGGTAGGAGCTCTGAGATCTAGAGAGTGGTAGGCAATAATGCCAGCAAGATAACTGAGAAGGGCAAGGTGTCAGAGTACATAGGTCTTGATCTGTCTTGTAGATAGATCATTGTGGAGACTTTAGCTCATACTTGAAATAAGATGAGAAACTACCGGGGGATTTTAAGTAGAACAGTAACATTATCTAGCTTGCATTTTAAAAGGATCTCCATAGTTACTGGGAATATATAGAGGGACAAGGAAAGAATGAGATAGATAGAAAACTATTGTGGGGACAGCAGATGGGACAGTGGTTATAGCGCTAGACCCCCACATGGCTGTCTATGGTTCAAGTCCCAGACCTGGTAGCTTGAAAATCACACCAGGCACATGTGTATGCATGCCCCAAATCCCAGGAGAATGGAAGAGAGGGATTGCAGTGTGGCCATTCCCCTTTGAGGGGTGATTTTTCACTTTCCCTCTCACTGTCTCTCTCTGGCAAGCACGCATGCCCTATGGCAAAAACCTTTAAAAGAAACAGAAGAGAAAAGAAAAAAAAAAAAAAAGAAAAGGGAAAAAAGAAAGATAGATAGAAAGAAAATGAACTATTGCAATAATTCAGGCAAACAATGAAGGACATTTTCACCAGAATGGTAGTAGAAGTGTTGATATGTGGCTATATTGAGGATGTATTTCTAAAATAGTGCTAATAGGACTTATTAATGCATTAGACATTAGGTATGAATGAAAAATTAAAGATGACTGTAAAACTTTTGGCCTGAGCAACTAAAAGGATGAAGGTGCTATTTACCAAGATGAGAAAGAGTGAGAGAGGAAAACATTTATGTCAGAAAGATCAAGAATTCAATTAGGAACATATGAAATTTGATGTTCAGAAGGGGATTTGACACTTGGAATTCAGAAGAAAGGTGTGGGCTAGGAATATAAAGTTGGGAGCTGTTAGTGTAGAGATGGCATACCAGGGGTCTCCAACTCTGGAACGGATTCACATAGCAAGAGGTGAGCAGTGGGCAAGTGAAGTTTCATCTGTGTTTACAGCCACTCCCCATTGCGCACATGACCATGCTTCCTATCAGATCAACAGTGGCATTAGATTTTCATGGGAACCCAAACTCTATTGTGAATTGCACACATGAAGTAGCTAGGTTGCATGCTCTCATAAACCATCCCCCCATCCCTAGAAAAATTATCTTCCATAAAACTAGCCTTTGGTACCAAAAAGGTTGGGGACCACTGGTATATACAGCTCCTTGAAATTGCCAAGGAAATCAGCTTGGATCCAGAAGAGAACAGGCCAAAAAGTTGAAAAAGTGATATTAGATAAGTATAAATAAAACTTCAGGGGTCATTTATGTAGTTAATCTCCAAGGGGATGTTTTCTGGTATTAGAAGATATTCTGAAATTTCTTTTTTATTTTATTTATTTATTTTTTTTTGGAGAGATTTTTTGCTATAGGGCGCGTGTGCTCGCCAGACAGACAGAGAGAGACATAGAGACAGAAAGCGAGAAATCACCCCCCAGGGGGAATGGTCACGCAATCCCTTCTCTTCCATTCTCCTCTTGGGATCTTGGGCACATACGCACACACCCCCGGCGTGAGTTTTAAGCCACCGGGTCTGCGACTCGAACCGCGGTTGACTACGTGGGAGTCCAGCAACATAGCCATTACGCTAACTGCTGGTTCCCTGAAATTTCTTATATGAGAAAAATAGCATTGTTTGATAATAATTGGAGCATTTCTTCTTGAAAACAAGTAGATAACCTCAAAAGAGCAATTATTCTATGGGTTTTTGATATAAAGAATTAAGTGGGGTGTAATTAGGCAAACAAAAGATGCTATACACTAATAACTAAACTATAGAATCTGCATCCTGTACTGTCATGTGAAAAATAAATAATGGGGGCCAGCTGGGGGCATGGTGATTGGGACACTGGACTCCTATATGGCCGACCACAATTTGCGTCCCAGACGTGGACAGCTTAACAGTCGTGCCAGGTATGTGTGCATGCTTTCCCACAATCCTGAGAGGAAAATGGAAGAGAAGGGATTGTGACCTGGCCATTCCTCCTAGGTGGTGATTTCTCACTTCCCCTCTCTTTGTCACTTTCTGACAAGCACATGTGCCCTATGGCAAAAACCTTTAAAAAAATTGTTTTTGAAAACGAGAAAAATAGCAAATTTTTGTTTCAGAAGTGACTCCAAAGAAGTTTGTCAACCAAAAAATTATAAGCAGTGATATTTATTGAGCACCAACTGAATGTCAGGTCATGAATTAGGGATTATAATACATATTTTTCAGAAGAGGAAGCCCAGGTTTAAAAGTGATCAACATCTTGTCTAAGGCCACATAGACAGCGGAGTCAGAATCAAGCATGTGTCTGTCTGATCCCAAAGTTTAGAGTTCTTATTTGACTCTCAAATGAGAATTGGGTCATTTATGTTGCCTAACAATTTATTTTTTTTATAATATCAGTAGCTAATGTATGTTATAATAGTTAAGGGATGATGGACATGACACTTGTTAATTTCTGTATTTTTCCAAAGTTCCTATGTCAATAATACGTTAATAAAAGAAAATTACTTTACATATAAAAGAAAAATAGACTAGAAAATAAACTTTATGGGAACATAGTCTGGTCTTCATATGTTTTTATATCCACAGAATAAGTAAGTGTTCAATCCATCTTTGTTCATTTTTGTCTGCACAGCATTTCCTACTTTTATTTATATTATCCCTTATTTAGATTAAATTCTTATATGCTATTAGCTTTTCAGAAATATCATTCCATAATGTTTTGTATTCTACACTGTATTCTCACATACATGACTTCATTTGTTCTGCATAGTAACTTAAATGTATCCTGTTCAGAAATGAGGAAAAAGCCAATAGCTGTTTCTTCTCATTTATAGCTCAGCACAGTTTGTAAATTTGCTTTAATTCTAAATTAAGCAATATTAGGGAACTAAAATCCCATTTAACCAAATAATCAAAGAATTCAGAAAGCATTTTTACATACTATGTCCTCTGGTGGAATGACATTATTATTATGACTTACTGTACTGGGTTTGGATGTTTTTAAAAATAGAGAATGTTTCCAAAATAGCATTATTCTGTAGATATATTCAGAAGTCAAGCAATCCCCACCCCAGGATTTTTTTAACATGTTGAGATTTCTTACAAACATTATTTCTACATACTCAGTTAAAATATTTACCTTCTGTAAATAATAAAAAAGCAATTTAGGGGTTATTTGGTTTCTTCCTTAGACTGAAGATGGCAAACTAGTTGTTGAAGGAACGTTGGACATTTTCTGGGGAGTAAAACGACCTATACAACTGAAAATACAAGACGAGAAGCAAATCCCTTCTTTTACTATGTTGAAGTCACCAGACGTCTTTTCCAGCAAAGGGTAAATTATCTTTCATGTTTTTAACTTCTTAGAAGATGGTCTTCATCTGTACTTTTTTGTATGTGCACATAAAAATGGTAAGTCTATAAAGTGTTTCTATAAAATCTCATTTAATCCCCCAACAACTCAATAAACAGGTGTTTGAAGACCGGAGTACTTACAAGAAGCATCATGTGTGCAGGATCCACAATTACCACGTGGCAAACTGGTCCACAGGTTCAGAGCTTGTACTCGAGCCCCTCCTGATGTATTGAGTCTCTCCTGAAACACTACATTCCTCTATCAGGAAAGATAAAATGTAATGGCAGGATTTGATTAGCCCTTGCCTGGTTTAAAAAAAAAAAGGAGAAAGAAAAGAAAAGAAAAGAAAAGAAAAGAAAAGAAAAGAAAAGAAAAGAAAAGAAAAGAAAAGAAAAGAAAAGAAAAGAAAAGAAAAGAAAAGAAAAGAAAAGAAAAGAAAAGAAAAGAAAAGAAAAGAAAAGAAAAGAAAAGAAAAGAAAAGAAAAGAAAAGAAAAGAAAAGAAAAGAAAAGAAAAGAAAAGAAAAGAAAAGAAAAGAAAAGAAAAGAAAAGAAAAGAAAAGAAAAGAAAAGAAAAGAAAAGAAAAGAAAAGAAAAGAAAAGAAAAGAAAAGAAAAGAAAAGAAAAGAAAAGAAAAGAAAAGAAAAGAAAAGAAAAGAAAAGAAAAGAAAAGAAAAGAAAAGAAAAGAAAAGAAAAGAAAAGAAAAGAAAAGAAAAGAAAAGAAAAGAAAAGAAAAGAAAAGAAAAGAAAAGAAAAGAAAAGAAAAGAAAAGAAAAGAAAAGAAAAGAAAAGAAAAGAAAAGAAAAGAAAAGAAAAGAAAAGAAAAGAAAAGAAAAGAAAAGAAAAGAAAAGAAAAGAAAAGAAAAGAAAAGAAAAGAAAAGAAAAGAAAAGAAAAGAAAAGAAAAGAAAAGAAAAGAAAAGAAAAGAAAAGAAAAGAAAAGAAAAGAAAAGAAAAGAAAAGAAAAGAAAAGAAAAGAAAAGAAAAGAAAAGAAAAGAAAAGAAAAGAAAAGAAAAGAAAAGAAAAGAAAAGAAAAGAAAAGAAAAGAAAAGAAAAGAAAAGAAAAGAAAAGAAAAGAAAAGAAAAGAAAAGAAAAGAAAAGAAAAGAAAAGAAAGAAAGAAAGAAAGAAAGAAAGAAAGAAAGAAAGAAAGAAAGAAAGTTAAATAGTTAAATTTCTTCTCTCCTTGGAGTAAAGAAATCTTTCTATTTTCTGGAGGGAGACTTAGTTACACTTACTTGATTGTCCTGATTCTGTTCAACAGACTCGACTGGCTATATTCAGGAGAGCAAAGCGCATATGAAGTTGAATAAATTCACGAAATAGTCCCCTGTGTGGGTGTGCACAACCGTACCTTAAATGCCTAGTTGGGCTGTTTTTTCCATTATCTTATAATTTTTAGAAAAAATAACATTCCCTACAAGAGTCATACCTTCAAAAAATGGCATCATCCGTCCATTCCTTCCTTCTTTCCTTCGTTTTCAATTCTGAACTTTCTAATTATCTCCTATTTGTTTATACACAGAAGTACCAAGCCTGCTCTTCCTACCCTCCATCCTCCTACCATTATTAGATGAGTTGAGTCTGTCAGAGAACAATATGAAAAACGAGCTGCCAGGACAATCCACCCAACCTGATCTTTATCTACAATCAAGAAAAAACAAATATCACATTGTAGAAAGTCCTGCTTTTGTCTTGGAGAAAATTCGGAAACCCTTTCAGAGCATACCCTTAACTGTATCTTCATGCACCTGTCTCCCTCTCTGCAGCACGACCTTCTCAATACTAGGAGGTGTGTTATTTGTCATCTCTGCATCCCAGCATTCATTGTATGCCCAATACCAAGAGGGGCCCAAACAGATTATACTGCAAAGCCCCCAGAAGCCTGTGGCTAAATTACCTCTGCTTTGTCATGACAACTATGTCTTTCTATCTGCCTCTTCTGAATAGTCCCCCATCCAAGTTAGGGACTGCCAATGGTCACAGAGAACAGAAGGGAGGGTGCGGCTCAGGCAGCCTGTCGAAGCCTGCCTCCCTGACATCAGGGACTAGATGACTGATGGTACTGATGATTCTAGTTGACTAAAAGCTTCATTTAAAAGGGGAAATTATTCATTCATGAGCCCCACTTCCACAAAAATCGGGTAAGAGGCAAACTCACAAAATTAGCTCTCATACTTTATGTTACCTAAGAACTTGTTGCAGAGTTCTCTGAGCAGCCAGTTCTTTTTGACGCATTTTAATGTTCTGATTCATGAAAACTTAAATAAGTATGGAGCATTAAAGAAAGTTGTCAAGGTGATGAAGTAGGGTACTTAGAAACTATCACATTAATCATCATCATTTTCAATGGCTAGCTCAAGATAGGTTTTAATTCCTCAAATTCCAAACACTTGTTCCTAGCAATCCTAATTTTTGGATGAGCTTCAAGAGTGCAGGTGAAGGTAATACTGATGTCTCTGCAGATACTGCCACAGATTATAAAATAATAGCTCAAAACAAGCCTTCTATAAAATCAACCCGCCTTTTTTTAGAGGTTTCGGCCTTAGGGTGTGTGCACTCACCGGAAGCAAGACAGAGATAGCAAGTGGAGAAGCGAGAAATCACTCCCCCCAGAGGGAATGGCCATGCCACAATCTCTTCTCCTCCACTCTCCTTCTGGGATCTTGGCCACGTATGCACATGCACCCGGCGTGATTTTCAAGCCACTGGGTCCAAGACTTGAACCATCATTGACCATGTGGGCGTCCAGTGACATAACCACTGTATAACCACCATCTGCTGGTCTCTCGACCTACATTTTTTATTGTTTATCAAAACATTATTGTGAAGCAAATAGGAATTATCTCCTTTTGTTTAGAGTTGAAAAAAAATTTACCTAGAAAATGTCATCAGCCTGTCCTGTACCACAGTAATAGGCTGACTGGGAGGACATTGGAAGTGCACCTTGCATTGTATCAGATCTTTCTGATACAATGAAGAATGGACAGAAAAAGGCCTCACTCCTTACACTTACTTTCAGACTCACAACCCATAAGAACGGGATTAGATCGGACTATGATAAGTTAGGTATGATACTTCACGAGAACCAGCTGAACACTGACACAGCATAATGTGGGATGGTTTTTCCTTGGCCTCCGGTTCTCTAACCCAGTGTAGCCACCTCAGGTACTGTTCTTCTGTTTCAATCCAATTCCAGACACTCTCACTCTGGTTGCCTCTGTAAGGCAGTGTTCATTTAATTTTTTTTTTCAAGCAAAAAGAAAAGTTCTATTGAGAGAAAGAATGCTCAGGATCTTGAAGCTGGAGGTGCCACAGCCTGCCCACCAATTCTAAGCCTCTAATTAACTTGCATAAAGAAATCCCCTTACTCTGAAATGTCTGTGTTCCTTTTCTCATACTGGGCATCTGTGGGCAAAACTTACACCTCTGACCCACAGGATAGATTTGATACCTCAGTGAGTGAATGTGGAGTAAAAGATGGGGTGTTGTGTATTCAGGTGCAGGAAGGGCTGTGCCTTTCGGTTCACCTTTTGAGAGGACCATCAGTCTTGTCATGCTAGTTTGTTTTAGTTATGTTTGTCATGAGTCACACTGATGAAGTATCAGCTTACTGGGAGTGGTAGAAGCTTAAAAATAAATCTGTCTGAGCTCTGACCATTTGTGAGAAATGATTCTACAAGTCATACCTTGCTCTCTCATATTTGGTCCAAGTGGTTTTATGTTTTTTAATTGTTCATTTAAATTGTAAAACAAAAACAACAACGACAAAAAAAAAAAACAAAAAAAAAAAAAAAAAAAAAAAAAGCCTCATTGAGGCTACATTTGCTTCTACCATTTTCCAATTGTTCTTACTATCTTTTTAAAGTTAGCTTTAACATATTTTGAACCAGTCCTAGCAGAAAGACATAAGAACAGAAATTGGACAGGTGTGCATTTGGATAACATCAATGGTGCTGTTTTCTTCTTACAATGAGAGTAGGGAAGTGAGCCCATGCTATTTTGTCTATCAAATTTCTACCTCCTTTTCATTTTGCAACTCATTAGAAAACTTTCCTACAATTTAAATTTGCAAAGGATACACCTGCTGAAGTTTGGTGAGAGCAATGCAAACAGTTGCGTGTTTGGACAAGTTAAACTATTGGTATTTGGCATTACATAAAGTTCTGGCCAGGTTTTTTTTTTTTTTGTAAACTCTAAATGCCCTCAAGCTTAATTATGCACACAGTCATATGGAGTGACTCAAATGACACAATCCCGAGCTAAAAACTGGTGTAATGTTCTGCTGTAATGGTACCGAGAACTGAACTACATTGAGCTACTGTATTTACGTGGTGTCCTATGTTGTAAGAAAGTGAGGACAACTGTCAGTCTGCCAGAGTCCCCAAGAATTTATGCAGGACATTGCAGGGCTGACTTTCTTTGGGCTTCTTCTCCTATTCCTCCTTTTAAAATAGCATCATGTTGTTTTTCATTTTTAATTTCTGCTTTTCATTGGAACTCCATCATTCCCATTGCCAACCCTCTTTCTGTGATAATTATACCTGCACCCTTTGGATTACCAATCTGCTATATAGATTCGGGGAAATGGACAATTTTATCTACTGTAAGAATAATGAGATTTGAGTCAAGATAGTCTAAATTGTTCCCCATTTGTGTTCTCTATAATTCTTGGACTTTATGGCATTTATTTTGACTGGCTAGATTCTGGATAGCAGAGTCTGCTGAAAAATTAAGAAATACATTAGGTTTGGGGACCAGATGGTAGCACAGCAGTTAAACACGATGCTCTGTGAGGCTGACCCTCATGAGAAGGTTCTATGTTCACATCCAGACCTTCTTGAACACACCGGGATAGGTATGCCCCTGATCTGGGACTGGCTGAAGGTGGAGGTGGATTGAGGTGTCGAGACCCTGTCAGGAGTGCTGGCTCTCTGTCTCTCTCCCTCTCACTAATGAAGATACAAAATAAATAAAGTATAAATAAATAAGTAAATATCTATCTATCTATATGTGTGTGTGCATGTGTGTGTATTGTACATATATACGTATATGTGTGTTATATAACTATAGTATATGTGTGTGTGTTAAGATTAGCTTATCTACTTTAAAAGGCTATCGTAAGGTTGGGAACCAGCAGTTACCGTAATGGCTATGTCGCTGGACTCCCATGTAGTCGACCGCGGTTCGCGTCCCAGACCCGGTGGCTTAAAACTCACGCCAGGCGCGTGTGCGTGCATGCCCAAGATCCCGAGAGGAGAATGGAGGAGAAGGGATT